TTTTGTTATCGGATTTTGTTACCAATTTTTTAGCACGCATTTTGTTACCAATTTTTTAGCAAGTATTCCTTTTTATTTTGTTATTTTTATCAATCTATAGAGATATGATATGATCCAATTTAAAAATAAATTGTTTAACTTTGATTAGTTGGAATGTTGTTAACAACTGAAACCAAATTTTGTGGGATTTCTTTTTGTTAAAAAATTTCATACTCGATGACCGCGCGTCGTTACACGGCAAATTTATATTTATAAATTTTTCCTCGTCTAACCCCTACTAGCTAGTAGTAGTGGCGAGCAAGGGTCGATCCCACAGGGAGTGTGGTATAAACCGTGATTTTATTATATTAATTAGATTAAAATAAAAATGGGAGGATTTGATTTATTACGAAACTACTAGCAAAACAAGAAATAAACTAAAACTAAAAATAAATGAATTATATGCCAAAGATGATGAAACCGAAAATTAATAAATATAATCTAGCAAAGATGAGAATGGAATCGGTTCCAGGTCGGTCTACACCCTCGAATAACTAGCCCAATTAATGCTTTTATCAAATTTCACTCGTCTTCTAAAACTATCGGTCCTAGATAGCAATAAGCTCTGGTACCCGAATTTTCCCTTAATTTATACTTAATCGAAATAGGCTCTTCAATTAATTCTAACTAGCGAATAACTCGGAATAAGCTCTCCTAATTTAACCCGCTAGCCGCATTAAAATCTACGAAAATAGACCGATCTAAGCCACAAACACATAAGCTCGGTTCATGTAACTTATGTTGTGCTATCCCTAACAATGCACGACTATTAGTTGCTACAAACGAAATAAGAGCGACGACAATTACGGATCGAAGCCTCAAATCTAGCAATTAACATGCAATTCCTAACTTAGGTGATCAAGCTAAATTAAAATTCACACATTATGACAAGAAAATAGAATAACACAATCAACTTTATACGACGAGTAAAACGAAATAAATAGCATTAATCAAACATAGTCATCGAGGGTTCAACGTCCCTAGAACCGAAATAGTGTTTAGCTACACATAGCTAAATGATAAAAATAAAAATAATTCATCATCTTCTCTAAATAAATAAATAAAGCAAATAAAATAAAACAAACTCCTTTACCCAATGATTCACGGCTCAAAGCGAAATCTCCAACAGCAAAATAATTGAACTTTTTTCTCCTGCCTCTGTTCGTGTGTAAAAGTCTTCAGCAGGATGAAAAGAATTGGTTTCTTTCCCTTCTCCCCATTTGATGCCACGCAGAGATAGGAATTAAGAGTCCAAATCCCCCAAAACTCTCCAAGTTAATTCCATTTCTTTTTTCCAAGTCAAACCAATAACAAATAATTGAGAGTCCACTAGCAATCCACTTCTTTGCTCTTCAACACCATCCGCAGCACAAGTCCTCCAACTTAACAACATTTAATTATTTACTAATCCATTAAGCATTGCCACGCCCAGTCAATAATTTTTGGCCACGTCATCGCTTACTTAGCTGCCACATCTTTTATATGCATAGGAACTGCAAAATAAACACAAAATACGAATATTGGTGTATGTCCGTTCACAAAATAAAATAAGTGAGAAAACTTATACAATACACTAAAATCAAATACTCCAATATATAAATTAAACTCCAAAATAATACAAGATTTCTCACGTATCACTCGATATTTCCTTACCAAAGTTATCGGATTTATTCATGAACAATTATTCCTTTTTATTTTCTTTTTGTACCAATCTCGGTATATATCTGATTTATTTAGGATTTTGTAATTCCTTTACCAAAACCGTGCATACCAAAATCAATATCAATTTATGTGGGATTTATGTTTGGAAATTTGGCCCAAACCGATCCCTCTCTCTCTCTCTCTATCTCACTAATCTGTTTCTTTGTGACCACCCGTGTGAGAGCCACTGTGAGTGACGCCGTGAGAGCCACCGTTGTGCCGCCTTTGTGCCGTTGCTCCGTCGCCAAGCTTCTATTGCCAGCTAGAGCTATTTGGGCTTCCAGGCAAGTCTCTTTTGTGAGACGTGAGCATAGGTGACAGGGTGACCGGGTGCGGGGCTCGGGTGTGAGGTGCAGCCCGGGGTGCGGGCTGAGGAACCAGGGTCGCCGTTCATTGACCACCACCAAGCCGCAATTGTGCCGAGGGTTCCGGGAAGAAGGGCTATTTGAGCCGGATGACTTCGTGTCTCCATTCTCCACCGGCGAACGAAAGGGAGTCTTTCGTTCCTTCTCTTTTATTCCCGTTTTGCTTATTTCCCTATTCTTTAGCATTTTACTTTGTGTAATTGCTCGATTATTGTTGCCGTTAATCACCATTAAACTGTGTGTTTGCGTTCAGATGTAATCGGTACAAAAACGGGTCCGTAAAGTGAAGACTAGGATCAGCTCGGGCCCGAAAGTGAGCTGTCCGGAAGCCCGGAACACGAACAGCAGACCGGGAGGTCGAAAGGGGCTACAAACGGGTATTTTGTTAACAAATTCTATCTGATTGTGATAACAAATCTCGAATTTTGATAAAAAAAAATGTCATTTAAAATATCGGTTTTTTTGGTAACATACTTCATAGTTATTTACATGCAATATATTGTCGATAATTTTTGGGATTTCTTTTGGTAACAAATTTCACAATTTTTTCAGATTGTTTGGAGTTAGATATTGAGAAAAAATTTTGAGATTTGATAAATGATACATATCAAAATAAAAATATTATTTTTCAATCAATCCAAAAAGCCTTACCAAATTAAATTGTAACAAACTCCAATAATTATGGTAAACATTATGTCATATATTAATCTTCAATAATCGACAAAATCCGAGACACATGTAATAAGTTGCATATTTTTTATTTTTGTTTTAACAAAAACGGATAAACATATTTTCTGAAGTCAATCATAATCTTATTATTTAAGAAAATAAATCCTACTCAACTTAAAACCTGACGAAATCAATTTTGAATTTATATTTTATACCAATATTTTATTTATTTATATAATCTACACTACCCAAACTACTAATGGTTGTTCCTAATATATATCTAGAAAACAACTAAGTACTCGGATAAGGGTTTGAATAATAGGATTGAAAAGCATGATTTTATTTCTTAAGCTAATCCGATCTTTTTTAACTTGATATTTTGTAACTATATCTCCTCTTTGGGTCTGTGTAATGAGACACGATTGGTTGTGACAAAGCTCTCCACTCACGTTCTCGAGTGTAACATACTCACTGGCGATCACGCAGGTGATAATATATTGATTCCAAGAATGGCCATATTTTCTTCTGATGTTAGAATTCCCTTCAAGTTCTAACGTTGACAGTTTTCCATTATGGTTTCTTACGCCATGACTATAAATTAGAGTCAGGGATAATCATTTGCATGTGTGCTTATTTCTTAAGAAACCAGTATTTTGTCATGGTCATTGTATGTTGTTGTCTCCGTGTCACAAACAGAAATGGTTGAAGATCCTAATTTGTGGCGACAATGACGTGTCAAAGAATTAAACGATGAACGTTGTATGTAAAGAAATGTTCAATAATATATAGATTTTATTTTCATTATATTTGTTAGTTTATTAATTATTAATGACATAATCTTTCCTTTAATAAGTACTTTGAATTTTAACTGAAAATTACTTTTTAAAAGGGACGGAGATAATAAACTCCCGTGGATCGCACGGGTACTGTACTAGTATATATAAAGAAGTTGTTGGAAAAATACATTAATAGAAAGTTTGACTAAATAAATATAATGTTTGACTTACTATTAATGGAAAGTTCAAAAAAATACATGTGAATCTTTAGTAACAAAATCTGAATCTTATTTTTTTGGTAACTAATTTGGAGATTCTTATAGCAAAATTTGAATTCTATTTTTTGCGTATCATATTTTATTTTTTTTACCAAAATTTAAATCATATATTTTTTGGTAACAAATTTGAAGATTCTTATGCAAAAAATGTGTCAATTATTTATGAAAACAATTCTAAATATAAATTAACTTAAAAACCGTACAAATTGGATACAAATTTTGGAAACAAATAGTTGTATAATTCTTAACCAATTCTTCCAATCTTATTGAATAATTTTTTCTTTAAAAAAAAGTGTGTAAATTGGATAAAACAACGTGCAATTTTTATTTTAGAATAAAACTGATATTTGGACGGGATGTACATTCAAAATTGTGTCCACATTTTTTGGTAACAAAAGCGGTTCATATTTGATATATAAAAATTAAAAAAAAATCTTAAAATATCCTTAAATATTTAACTTATTTGAGATCAAGATTTGTTAGGTCTTTTTAAGATTAGTTATGATTTAAAAGAAAAAAAATTATACAAAACATTATACACATTCACACTTAAAATTTGATCATCTTAAAAGTCTCAAATTTTAAAAAATCTCAAAATGGCACTCAAAATTCTAAACGAATACATATTATATACCTATATCGTCAATTTATAATTATTATTTAATATTTTTACCCGTGCATCGCACGGGCCACATACTAGTAATTAAATAATATCAATCAATCATTCATACATACTACATCAACCTTAATTCACTATTCATCCACTCACATTATTTTAACTAACTATCACTTCAAATATCTCTCTCCTACTTTTACATCAAATCAATTTTAATTATTTTATTTTAAATATTATTTTAATATACCCACTAACAACTAATCATACCACATTTTTCAAAATTAACCAAACCAAATCAAAAAATTCAAACAAAACCAAAAATTTTTAAAAACACAACATGTTATTCTTTTGATTCATAACTCAAGTTGGACCAATATTGATTACAAAATTAAATTGTTAACTAAAATCAAACAAAAACAAGAAATATCAAACCAAAATAGGGACGAACAAATTTTGGACAAATGAGTGAGAACACGTGGGGACAGAAAAAGAACAATCAAACACGCACACAGAGATCACATCAAACTATTCATGAGCCACCAGCCCCGCGTACAACTCATTTAAAGCTGTACCTTATAGAGCAGTCGAAGCGCGTGTAAACCACAGTCGCTGTAATTTTGTAATCGGACGCTGTCGTGTCGGACAAATCAGAGCTGCGAGAGCAGTCGAGAAAGGGTGGGGTCTGCTGCACTGGAACTCGGCCTTTCGATAATAGGACTTGACGGGACAGGCCAATTCTGTACCAGATAATTAACGTCAAGTGTCAACGCCGTTGGATTTTTTGGGTCGATAGATTATCAGCATCTTAAGGTGTTTGCTTGTCTTTGTCACACATTATGTTTCGTTAGAGATGGATGGAATGTGCAAAATGTTGTGTATAGTTGGAAAGAAAATGACATAAACCGGAAAAAATGAGTAGATTTAAATAAACAATTCTATATTAATATAATATTTTGATAAAAAAATTAACACAATAATATATAAGAGTATGAGTTATTGATTTTAAGTTATTTATAAGGTATAAAATCATAAGATTATGTCATGTGAGTATTATCCAAACTTTGTATCTCATTCTGATTGTATAATATGGTCCAATCTATATATATATAATAAGAATTAACATTTTTTGAAAATAGTAAGTCAAACTTTAGTCAAATTTTAATCAACATTGATTACTTACTATTCTTAGTAATTTTTTTACTTTTTTTTCTTTTTCTTTTTCAAAAAAAAAGAGGGCAACCTTAAATTATGGCGATGCTGGTCGAGGAAATCCTTGTGCGCCGCCACTGCCTGCAGAATCTCCCTCAGACCTGATCCGCCGCACCTCCTCACCGCGTACACTACTATCCGCACCATCTCTTCCGTAACTTGAACTGTGCCATCTCGCAACTCGCCATCCCCCAAATCAGCCTCCAGTTCACCTCTACTAGCGGCATCTCCGCCGGCTACAGTCGTTTCGCGGCCACCCTCAGCCCCTCCAATTCGAACACGAAAATCACCATAGCCGCTCCGCGGCCTCCAAATCGGAGTCACTTGACATCAGAGGAGGGCTTGAAGGAGAGCTCGGCGGTGGATTTTGCCGACGCCGGGTCGTCTGGATGCTGGTGTTTATGCTTTTTGCTCTTGATTTTGTGCTTGGTTGGTTTATCAGCCATTCATGGGGTTAGGTATGCGAGTGGTGGGCTGAAAAGGGGGTTGTGTTTGGTACTGGTGATGTTGATGATGGTGGGCGATTGAATAGATGGAATTAACAAATCTAATCATTTTGTTAAACAAATTAACAAAGAATCCTAATGCATCTATACCTCATCAGATGGAGTTTGTTAAACAAACAATTAACATACCTATTAAGGTTGGTCATTGAGAATTTAATGCATCTATATCTTCTTGGATTATACTGCTTAAGAATTCTAAATTTTAGTTCGGTTTTTTATGGGAAAAAGATCTTTTACAAATTACTAGAATATTTAATATCTATTCTCATAAGCTTTAACTATCAAGCCTATTACATATTATAAATACTAATATTGTAATATAATGCAGTCAAATTTGACAGGTGTATCATTTTAAATAAAAAAATAATGTTATTTTGTAAGAATTATTTAAAATTTTAAAATTAGAACTTGTATTTATATTTTTAGAATTATTAAATATAAATTTACAATTAACACATGTAATGATATGAAGTTAATACCAAAAATCCAGCCTAGGCAATTGCCTAGGCTGGCCCATATGTGGATCCGCCATATCATATAAACATTCATAAACCATTTCCATTTGTACTAATACATGCTCTAAAAATTATATGAAGATGCTTCGTCTTTGAACCTCAAAATTCTAAAAAAAAAACAATCAATTTCAAGCACAAAAAATACATGTAATAGTACAAACATACGAATACAAATTCTAATAAAATATATTCAGATGTTTCATCTCTAAACTTCAACAAATATAATAAAAATAATCAGTTACGAGAACAAAAAATATGTTTAAGAAAAAAAAAAAACATGTAAGAACAAACATTTTGCCTTATAACGTGAGTTTATATTGAGTCTGGGCCATAAGACTCCTATCTGATATCAAAACTTTGGGAAATATGCGACGATTAACAAAATATTTTGTTGAAAGGCACATTTTTTATTTGATCTTTGATGATTCAAGTTAAAAATCGTAAAAAAATACGTGCCACCTTGAGTATGATTTCAAACTATGGGCGTTGTATATAAGGAAGTGTTCAATAATATATGAATTTTATTTTTATTATCTTTAATAATGTCATGATCGTTCCTTTATTATATAATTTGTTTGAATACAAAAAAATAAAAAAATAATAAAGTCCCGTGCATCGCACGGGTACTGTACTAGTTTAAGTAGCAAAAGATATGATTTATATCATTAAAAGCGTTAATTACTAATTGTGATGAAAGTGTAAACGCGTTTAGGTCAAAAACTTTGAGAGGTGTATTAAATTTTAAGATCATCTCCAGCCTTATCTCTACTCTAACGCGGACTTTACTCTCTAGAGTAGAGTTAAACATTCATCTCCAGCCCTTATCTCTACATTTTACTCTACATCAAATATATTATTTTTTTATTTATTTTTTATTTCAAATAAAGTGGTATATATATATATTTAATCTTATATAAATTTTTATTACCTAAATAATAATAATGTGTTTTATTTATTTTTATTCATATGTATCATTTAAAATTATAAAATTATAAAATAAACTTATACTACATCAATAAATAAAAATTACAAAATTATTTAGCATAAAGTACATTACACAAAGTTATTTAGTAAAAAAATACATTTACTAATACACATTATATACAAAAATTATCATTAATATTATATTAAAATACCTTAAACAAAAAAAACAAAAAAAAATCTGACATTGCTACAGTGTTGCGCCAGATGTAGTGCAACATTGTAGCAATCTGTAAAGTAGCGCAAATATGTGGAGCAGCGTTGGAGCATGAATTTGCGCCAGAATAGAGTAGCGTGGCATTTGTAGAGCAGCACTGTAGTTGCTCTAAAGAGTGAAATTATATTTAGGTCCAAGTAGAGTAATAAAATGTATGAGTATGTCACTTTTAAAAAAGTGTCTACAATACATTTTATTGTACATCAAATATATTATTTTTTTATTTATTTTTTATTTCAAGTAAAATGGTATATATATATATATATATAAATTTTTATTACCTAAATAATAATAATAATGTATTTTATTTATTTTTATTCATATGTATCATTTTTCTATGTTGGATTTTTATTCATATGTATCGTTTAAAATTATAAAATTATAAAATAAACTTATACTACATCAGTAAATAAAAAGTACAAAATTATTTAGCATCAAAATATATTACGCAAAGTTATTTAGTAATAAAATACATTTACTAATACACATTATATAAAAAATTATCATTAATATTATATTAAAATACCTTAAACAAAAAAAAAAAAAAAAAATCTGACATTGAAAAAAAAAAAATCTGGCGTTGCTACAGTGTTGCGCCAGATGTAGCGCAACACTGTAGCAATCTGTGAAGTAGCGCAAATATGTGGAGCAGCGTTGGAGCATCAATTTGCGCCAGAATAGAGTAGCGTGGCATTTGTAGAGCAGCACTGCAGTTGCTCTAAAGAGTGAAATCATATTTAGGTCCGAGTAGAGTAATAAAACGTGTGAGTATGTCACTTTTAAAGAAGTGTCTACAATAAATAGGCTATGGTATTGAATTAAGCAGAAATGCTATGGAGCCATCGCATGGTTCCTTTATGGAGTCATCTATAACTTTATGTATATGTGCATTTATTGCAGGACACATGTCAATACACCATTTGTGGATAACTATGGATGGTTCCATAAGCCGAGCCATCCAATGGCTCCATAGCAAAACCGCTCAGTATACTATATAATACACCTTGTTGTGTGAGACAGACAAACGGTTAGGCAGATTCACATGTCATATTATGTGAATAAAAATGCATCTTTGTACTATAAAATGTCATACTTATATTTATATCATTTTTTAAAATATGGCAATTTATAATGAAAGTATGTATATTTATGAAAAAAAAAATATGTTGCTATAATATAATGACTAGACTAACCTAACAAAAGACCTAACAATAAACATATCTATCTCGTATATTTTTTAAAATTATTGCACAATTCAGAAAAAACCAAACATGCACTCCAAATATGGGTGAGTAGGGTTGGACAACAATGTAGTTCGGTACAAAATTGCACTAAATTACAAAAAATAAAAAATTAAAATTGTGAAAAATTAAAACCGTACCGCATCGCAACATGCAAAAAAATAAAATCGAACCGATACAAAATTTTCTACATTACAAATAATCGAACCAAGATGTTTGGCGTATTTTTTAAATTTTCTAAGCATTTGGGTTTGATTCGTGCAAAACCATGTTGAACCCAAATAAAAATTGAAAACCGACAAGACAACCAAAATGCAGGTAAACAAAAAAAAAAAATAAAAAAAAAATAAAATTATTAAGATAACCTTTTCAAACGGCGTCGAATTGCACAATTCGACTCAATTTTATCCCTACCGTTGAGTGTTAATTTGATCTCCATTTGGGCAAGTAAATTTCCTTATTGCCAATTTGCCAAAAATATCCTACTGTGGTCAAGAAAGTTGCAGCACTTTTTTGCAAATGGCGTCTTTGCAAAACAATGTTACTGATTATCGAAGACCTGTATTTGCAAACAAGTATACTTGACATTCATGGATTTTGGCATGACACCAAAACCAATAATACCCCACACTCCATAAATGTGCAGATAACATAAATTTGGGTGGTGGGCCTACTCTTCATCAATTAATGGGCCCAATGAGTTTTCATCCATTTTATGAAAATATGTAAAAATGCCCCACACCCCTCAAATTGCTCTTCATAATTCCACTCATGCCCATATACACAAGAGTGGAAGACAAATTCAATAATGTCAATGGTTCTCCATTATTATAAACGCATTTTATAATTCAAATAAAAACAAAAAACATTGTATTAGTTAGTATTGCTTTTTCTTTTTTTACTTTTTTGGAAGGGTTGGTTTTACTTTACTAATCACATGACTTAATTTATCTAGATGCTTTTAGTAAGATATTTGATTTGTCAATTCCCCACACCCCACTAAACTAATTCACGCATATGGACTAAAGAAATCAAAATTGATTTCTTCAATTTTAGTATATTTTAGGAAGTTCATATTTTGAGTGTGTATGGATACCCACCTAGTCAAAGTCACAATGTTTACATCTATACTTTTATGTTTTTAATAAGAAATACCACACTATTTGAGTTCATACAACCTTTTGACTATTGAGATTTGACTAGAACTTAGTTATATGGACAGAAGAAATCCAAATTGATTTCTTTGATTTTAATATATTTCAGAAAGTTCATATTTTGAGTGTGTATGTACACATGCATGTTTGGATTATAAGCATAAGTTATTGATCTTAAATGAATAATTTAGTTTATACGAAAGACTTATATGATGTGGAAGATAAACTTAATATATTCTTGATGAACACATGAAGCTTTATCGATTTACTTGATTAAAACTAGTTTTTCCCTATTGACGGTTTCTTTACCTAGTAAAAGGCTGATAGATAATATTGCGTGTCTAATTGTAGGAGAAATGACTAATTTATATAGATGGACTTTATATCTGGTTCACATTCAATAAATATCCAGATTAATTGTTCAGGTTTGTGTAACCTTTAAATAAAGACTTAAAACAATGAAATCACTAATTGTGATTTCAATGTTTTCGGACCACGTATTTTTTCGACATCCACCTAGTCAAAGTATACAATGTTTACATTTATACTTAG